TCAACTACTTGTCTTCCTTAATGGCACTGAGCTTTCGTTCTGGGTGGGGGCTGGGAGGGTGGGGGAGTGAATTTCTCTCTGGATCAGCCTTTCTAAGTCTTATTTTTTTTCTGTGTGAGATGGTATAAAATAGCTTTTACTTAAAGGTTAGATAAGTCCTGTTTGCAGGGATCGCTAATGAATATCTTAAAGATTTATTTTTATTTATGCATACAAGAGCTGGGGTACAGGCCAGAGATGTGGGGGATGAGAGGATTCACCAGAGACAGAGTGGGGAGCAGAACTGGCCGACTGACTGAAATACACTGCTGAGGGGAGCAGTGGGCACGACAGGAGAGGTCTGCTGTGCCATGTGGGTTGCTCCCTGGCTGGCCAGGGATCAAACTCATGCTGCAGAGGCTATGGACAGCTTCATAGGTTGCATCTTAACCTTGTGCCACAAGGAGGCTGTGACACTGTTATTTAAATGTTTAGTCGTCGATCAGCTTTTCTGCTGTCTTTCTAGCTCCACTTGTTTGCTCTTGTTCAATGATTCGTAATTCAAAGTCAGAGAATGTAGGCAATGTTTCATGTTGCAAAGGAGGAAAAACTGGCCTTAGTTATCTTCCCGAGGACATCCCAGCCCTGTGTGGCAATGCTGAGACAAGTACGCCCCCTTTGCACTTGCCCCCCAGGCCCTGGCTGTGAAAGTAGGAATAAGAAGGTACCACTCCTGACATCTTGGAGCTTATGGCCTAATGACTAAGACAGACAACGGAAAGTAGAAACTGTTCAGGACTGGAACTGTGGAGGAGGTGAGATCATTGGGATGCAGGAGAACAGTGGGGCTTGGAGGCTTCTTAGATGGTGTCGGATGCTCCTCAGGAAGTGTATTTAAGGGGAGACCTGCAAGATGAAGAGGAGCCAACTCAGGGTCTAGGGTTGAGCGTTCCAGGCAGAGAACATGGCACTGACGAAAGCTCTGAGGGAAGAGCTGGCGGCTGGGCTTGTTCCAGAGGCTGTGCCGGTGCAGGGCTGAGGGCAGGCGAGCAGTTTCACACACACGAGCCCAGGCCCTTGTCAGATCACCTGTCCACTGTACCTCAGGCTCTTTGAATAGTTTTCAGACGACTCCATTGACACTTGCTTTGTGAAAATCTGTACTGTTATTCCTCTCTAAAACTGCAGAGGCAACAGGAAAAGCCTAGTGATAATGTCTTTATTTTCACGTTGTTATATGAAATCTTATCTTGTAATGAAAACATATCTTTATCTGGGTCAAAACACATGCTGAGTTTTCTGGAGCTTCTGGTTATAACTAGAAGTGATAGTAAAAACAAATCCCCTCAGATGGAGCTTATTTCAGACAGATACTGAATGTAGTGCATAATTCTGTTTATCCTATCAAAATGAAATAAGAGGAAAATCTCTTATCACAGGTAAAATAGCAGTAATGAAAAATGTTGCTCTTTCTTTAGCATATGAATTTTCCAGGGCATTAAATTGCCTCTTGCTTGTGTTTATGTAGCATCTGTATGCGTGGGTTGTGTTTATCATTTTGTGCCTATGTTTACATCCAAGTTTGAAATTTTTTTCTTTTGGCTGTTTGAACACAGAATATTCATCCTTTCAATTTTACTCCCGTTAAAAAAATTGCTTTTCTGGGATGTATGTGGTATCTTTTTTTTTTTTTTTAAAGATTTATTTATTTATACAAGCACTGGGTACAGTCAGAAGCGCGGGAGGGTGAGAGAATTCACCAGAGCCAGAGCGGGGAGCAGAGCAGGCAGAAGGACCGAAGCACACTGCTGAGGGGAGCAGCGGGCGGCAGGAGAGGTCTGCGTGCCATGTGGGACCCTCGCCCGGTGGCCAGGGAGCAGCTGGGTATTGAACCGGTGCTGCAGAGGCTGCGGGGAGCTTCGCAACCCAGCATTCAACTGCTGCACCACTGGGGAGGCCCTGTATGTGGTATCTTGTTAGACTTTAGTAAAATCTATTAGGTCCGCCTATCTTGGGAGTTTCTCTCTAGAATTTTTTGGGACCTGTTTTTAACCTATTGATAGTCAAAATTAAAAAAGTCATTGACTTTTCCCGTATATAGAACATGCATTTAGAGATCAAAGGTAGTCTGAATTCCACACAGTGCTTCTTTTGGTGGAGAAAGGACTTCAGTTGTACGATTCACATTTAATTGTTTGGCACTCCTTGAAGGATGGTGATCTCTACCTTGCCCTGTTAAAAGAAATTTTTTTGAAGACTTAGACTAGACTCGTGAATGAAACATTACTCACTTTCTGTTCTGAGTCCACGGAACATGGTAATGAGGAATAAACCGTTGCCTCTGATTTGAGGAGATCAGACTTGTGGGGGAAATCATCAAGCAAATAAATAATATGATGTGATAAATGCTAGGAAAGGTTTTTGTTCCCCATATTTGAGGCATAGAGAAGAGAGCAGTTAGTTTTGTGGTGTCAAGGAAGGAGGAGCTGAACATTGCCACAGGGGGTTGTAATGAACAAGAGCCCTTTGAATGACGTTGGCGTGGACATGTCAGTGGCGGCGGCCATTTATGTGAAGGACACGGGGACTCTGGCAGTGTTGTTAGCTCACTTGCCGGGCGGCTGTGTTCTTGGTTATTGCATGTGAGACACGGGAAGGGGTGGGCGGTGAAGCTGGAAAGCTGCACAAGGGCCCTTTGGGAAAGACCCTTTCATGTAGATGGAGGAATCTGGACTTGACTCTGTGGACATGGAAAAGCATCAGGGATCTAAAAGCAACAGCATGATGCGATCTTTTTATTTTTGAAAGGTGCCTTTGCTCGTATGGGAGGAAGGACGGGAGGGAGTCGAGGCGCCTGTAGGTGGAGGAAGGCCAGTTGGGAGGCTGTGGAGAGTGTGTGCTGGGGGATGAGCTGGGATTCCAGTGGGGGAGTAGAGAGAAGGGGTAAAGCTCTGAAGTATTTCTGAGACAGTCCCAAGGTTGAATCCAGGCTCTGGCTGAGGCAGCTTGGGAAGGCGGATGCTCCGTTCTGGGCTTCCCTCTCGCCCGAGCCCCTTAGTAGTTGGAGACTCTTGCTGGTAGAGGGAAGACACCAGCCCCACCAATCTCTTGAATTTGGTGATTTTAAATAAGAAGAAACTGAAGTGAACAAACACTAAAGATCTCAAACTAACTCTTTAGAGTTTCACAGTCTCTTTTCCTTTGCTGCTGGTAGCTTCCCTCCTCCCCTCCCTCCCCTCCCCTCCCCTCCCTCCCCTCCCCTCCCCTCCCTCCCCTCCCCTCCCTCCCCTCCCTCCCTCCCTTCCTTTTTTCTTTTCTAGATTTATTTATTTATACAAGAACTGGGGTACAGGCCAGAGGCGTGGGAGGGGGAGATGATGGCTTTTTTCCTATTGAACTGAAAAATTTGGGACCAAAAAATCACAGGTCTTGTCAGCTGTTTAAGGTTTTGAGTTTTAAAATCTCAGAACTGCTTTACGTGTGTGTGTGTGTGTGTGTGTGTGTTTCTTACTAATATACATTTCTTGCTAATGCTGTGTCACAGTTATACAGCTTTGTATTTCTTTGGCATCTGTGTTTTTGTATTTAAAATATCTGAATTGGAATTTTCATTTTTTTCATTTAGAAAAGCTAAACTCGTTGAATTGGAGTTAATTTTCTGCCATTCTCTATGCTTTTGAGCTCTCTTAATTTCATGAGTATTTTGAGTAGCTCGTTCCCAAGCCTTTGCCAGTCCAGTGCATGCTCAGGGCTCAGGGCATCCGCAGGCTTTGTGTCTAAGGGAAGTGCGCAGAGCTTCTGTGGTCTCCCAGTTTTCCTGATTTCTGAGGTTTCTGAGAACTGTTTTATTTTTCTTTTCTTTTGAAATGACCATTCTTTATTTGGGTTACTAAATGAACTCTCTAAAGCTCAGATGACCATGTGGGGTTGAGTGGCCTGTCCCTTGCCATGTCAACAGGGCACTGCCTGCCTGGGTCGCCCCCTGATTCCACTCAGGTGAAGTGGCGTCATTCGGCCTTAATGTGCAGAAAAGCACCATTTCATTATTATTCCTACCACCTTTTTTTTTCATTAGTTCTAATAAGGTATATATTATCTTGAGTTTAAACTGATAAATCAAAATCTAATTGCTTCTTCTTAAAGAAATACTTTAAGAAACTAACCCATTTAAAGTTTTTATTTTGAATTGTCACTGCAAAGTGCTTCTTAAAACAGATGCCACATTTCAATTGCAGATGCAGTATTTTGACTTTTGCAAGGCCAAGGTCAGGGGAGGCAAGTGAGGCCCTTGCCTCTGGGGCAGCATTTAGGGGGATACCCCTACCCCCCAAAAACCCCTTAACAATCAAGTAAAAAAAGATTTATTACAATATTTATTTTTAATCTTTATTGAGTTACCATTGACTGTAACATTTCAGGTGTACAACATTCTGACCCGATATTTGTCTTGATTGGGAACTGATCAGCACCATGAGTCTAGTTGCCATCTGCCACCAGACATGTTGCAAAACAGTTTTTTTTGCGATATAGGGACTTTCAAGATCTATTCTCTTTCCTATGGTTCCTGCCCAGAAGGTGCCTTAAACTTGGGCAGTCTTCTGGGCCTCCGTGGCGCGTCTTTTGGCCGACCCTATTTGGCTGAGCATGAGGGGATGGGTAACTTCGGGTGTTTTCTTGGGAAACTATATCCCTTCTCTTAATCCTATTACAGTTCTTTTCTATGGAAACAAAAACCTGTTCTCTTAGCAACTTTCAAATATGCAGTGCAGTATTAGTAACTGTATTCACCATGTGGGATGCATGTTATATCCCTTTGAGTTATTTATTTTACAACTTAAAGTTTATACTTTGGCCCTCTTCACCTTTACTAACCCACCTCCCTCCGCCACTCCCTTCTGGCAAGGGAACTATTCTATTGAACTGAAGCATTGGAGATCATTAGGAGGTGCTGATGTAGCTGAATACCATACGTGCTGGCCATCTTTATAGTATATTATTAAAAGCATTTCTTTTCATTCTAGTTCCCAAAGACCCGAAACCCCAGTGGAGACGTGTAGCGTGGAGTTATGATTGCACCTTGCTAGCCTATGCTGAAAGCATGGGCACTGTGAGGGTGTTTGATCTCATGGGAAGTGAGCTCTTTGTTATTAGCCCGGTATGTATATCCTTTAAAGGAACATGTTGTTTTGGGAATGCCTTTGGGTCTGAGTACCTAAATGAATGAATGTGAAGAGGGGAAATGAAAATGAGAATAAGTTTTGAACTTAAAGATGCTCGGAATATTTATTTAGTTATTTATTCTTTGTATTTTGTGATGCTCTACCTGGATATAGTCTACCATTATGAAAATGTGGTAGGAAGCACATACTAAACAGAGGTACAGAAAGCTATTATTAATTTCCAGGAATGACTTTGAGAGTTATAATTTGTTACCCTAAAAGAACAGGAATTGAAAGGGAGAGTGGAGAAAAAAATTAATGGTAGTAATAACTTGTGTTTGAATAGTGCTGTATACTTTATTAATGGCTTTGATATATAATCTTATTTAATAATTACAACAAGGTTTTGAGTAGATTGGGCAGATACTGTGCTCATTTTATAGTTTAGGAAGCTAAATTGAGAGTAAAATGAGCCCCCCTCACTCCGCAGCAGTCAAGTTAATAAATGTCTCTTTTAGGAATCCAGTGCTTTTTGCTTTGTATGCTCCTTCCTCAAGTGAGCAAGATACAGGGGCAGGTAGAACAGTGGTTCTAAATCTGGCTGCATTTTAGGATTACCTTGGAAGTTTCGTAAAGAAAAAGAAAAGGAAAATTAATTACTGGATTGCCCAGGCTCCACCCACAGGAGATCTGACTTAACTGAGCCACGTGGGCCATGGACATTAATGGTGTTTGTGTCTTTCAGTTGATCCTAGTGAAAAGCTAGGGATGAGAACCAATGATTCCGATGATTTTTGCTCAGAAAAACTTGGAAATGTTCATTCAGTTCATATTACAGAAGTCCTGGGGGAGTCAAACTAAAAAGCGTGGCTCACTGATTTCTAGGTTAGCACCATCTAATAGGAATGAAATGTGATCACATGTATAGTGTTAAATTTTCTAGTAACTGCATGAAGGAGAGTTAAACAGTGAAATTTATGTAATATGTTGTATTTTATATTAAATTATTTTATTGAGTAATCCAAAAGATACAAAATGTCACTTCAACATGTAATTTGAAATTAATGAGATATCCTAAATTCTTTCTTACTACTAAGTTTTTTTTTTTTTTTTTTTAAGATTTATTTATTTGTTTGTTTTGTTTGTTTTGTTTATACAAGCACTGGGTACAGTCAGAAGCGCGGAGGGCGAGAGATTCACCAGAGCCAGAGTGGAGAGCAGAACAGGCAGAAGGACCGATGTACACTGCTGAGGGAGCAGCGGGCGGCAGGAGAGGTCTGCGCGCCATGTGGGACCTCCTCCGGTGGCCGAGAGCAGCCGGGATCGAACGGCGCTGCAGAGGCCGCGGGCAGTTTCGCAACCCAGCGCTCAACCGCTGCGCCACCGGGAGGCCACTACTAAGTTTTTTGAAATTTGGTGTATATTTTTTTATTTGTAGCATATCTCAATTCGATCTAGCCCACTAGTCAATATCAGGTGATCAGTAGCCATATATCAAGTGTTTAGTAGCCATGTGTGGCTACAGTATTTTATTTTGAGACTCTAGACAGTGAGGAGTCATGTAGGGTGATAAGCTTTATTTTATGTACTTCCAGAGCCTTCAGATCTTTAGCAACTTAGCCTAATAATTAGTTGATGGAAAAAGGTTGGCATTGAGTATTTTTAGTGTCCATTTCTTTAAATTGGTGAGGAGGCAAATGGAAAGTAGTTGGAGACTTTTTTTTAGCATGTTACTGCTGATATTGGAAGTCAACATTTGAGAGCTTATGTCTGAATTCTGTGTCTTAGAATTTTTTGAAGCTGAATGTTGGCATTATTTTCTTTTTTGCGATGTGTGGACTCTCTGAATAGAAATTCATTTATCTAGGTGAACATCTCATCCAAAGAAACCACATCTGTGGTTTCAGCCTGTGGTTGGGAGGGCCAGTCTAGACTTGTATGAATCTTCAATGTGCAAATTAATTCTGGAGCCTTCTTATTTCTAGTGCTCCTGGTGAGATCAGTACCCCAGATAGCCTCCAATTATACATTTGTTCATTCTCTCTGGTATCTTTGTAGTAACGTAATTTCTTTTTTCTTGTAGGCATCTGGTTTAGCAGGTGATTTGAGCTATGCCATTGCTGGATTAATATTTTTGGAGTATAAAGCAAGTGCACAGTGGTCTGCAGAACTGTTGGTCATCAATTACCGAGGAGAACTTAGAAGTTACCTTGTAAGGTAAAAGTATACTGGGGAAGTTCTATTTTTTAATTTTAGTTTTTCTTTAATTTTATTAATTTGTCAGTCTTGTGCATAATAACATAATTTTGGGGTTCCCTCCACATGTATTTGCTGTTAATTGTAGACATTTCAGTGGGTGTTTGGTGGTATATCACTATCGTCTAATGGTATTTATTACTTACCTTCTTGAATTTAGTGTTGGAACAAATCAGAGCTATCAAGAGAGCCACTGTTTCAGTTTCAGTAGTCACTACCCTCATGGAATCAACACCGCTCTTTACCATCCTGGTCATAGGTAAGGAGCCTCTGGGTTTCGTATTTGGTGGAGTTGGGGCAGGGGTGTCAGAGTCTTGGCACAATTCTGACAGAAGAAATTGTCCATTTTGATTATTTATTTGCATTCATCATTTTCCTTCTCTTGTGCAGTGTTACCTTCTTATCTGTAATATTGTTGTAGTCATCTTGGAACATTCCTGCTCATTCTGTTGTATGACTGAGCTTCTGAGCCAAGTCGCACACTGGAATACTCCTGGGGGATTTTCTTCTTCTAACAGTCAGAATTGTATTTTTCTCATTTGTAAAATGAATGCAGTACCTGACTCCTCTCATTGTTGAAAGGATGATAAAATACTGCATAAAAGTGCCCTGCAGAGAAGGACCCTGTCTATATCACTTCTTTTCCTTCTTTGCAAACGAGGCCTGCGTTGACTGCACCGTTGCTTCCTACGGCTTTACCCAGCTCACAGGTGTCGCTTCTCTCTGTATTTGCCTTCTACATGGAGGGTTCCAGGAAACTATTTGGCATATTCTTCTTACAACATTTCTCCCTTTAATTTTGTTGTTGGAGGATGAAATTGATATATATCTTGCAAGTTAACCAAACTAGCTCTTTGATTCTCCAACAGGGAAGGCTATGACGTTGTAAGTCAGACAAAGTGAGCTCAGGTTCTGACTTAGAGATTTTACTCTGTGTCTGTTGGCAGGTCCTTAAACTATCTGACCCTACACATACTTAAGTCTTTCGATTGAAAATGTTTGCAAGTGTTGGATCCTGTCCATAGCAGCCATGGCCTTTTAGCAGCCTTTTTTATACTTCAGATCTTATACTTTGCTTGCGTAGCTTCACATCATCTTGAATTTAAATTTTGCTCCTAGAGAGGAATGGGGTATGTTTTGCTTTCATATACCAGCTCCCGGTTGTGCGTTTGCGGTGCTGTCCTGCCGGATGTGCACATTGCTCCGCGTGCTCTCGTCGCTGGCTTGGTTTTGTTATCTGACCTCTTTATGTTTAAATCTTCTTTGGCACCATATTTTCTATGTTCTTTAATGCTTTTACATTATTGCCTGCTTTGTATTACATCTTTGCATTGAAAGAATGCCTTTGGTTGAGTTCAACTTGATTTTGTTTTATTTATTTATTTTTTAAAGATTTATTTATCTATGCATACAAGAACTGGGGTGCAGGCTAGAGGTGTGGGGGGTGAGAGGATTCACCAGAGACAGAGTGGGGAGCAGGCAGATCTACTGAAATACACTGCTGAGGGGAGCAGTGGGCAAGACAGGAGAGGTCTGCCACACCACGTGGGTAGCTCCGGCTGGGGATCAAACTCATGCTGCAATGGCTGCAGACAGCTCCATAGGTTGTGTCTTAACCCCTTGCGCCACCAGGGAGGCCCATCGTTTTAAAGCATAGTATTCTGCAAAGAGCTGATGAGACTCAGCAACAACAAAGAAAATAATCCAGTCAAAAAATGGGCACAAGAGCTAAAAAGACTTCTTCTGAAGAGGAAATGCAAATGGCCAACAGGCATATGAAAAATGTTCAACATCACTTGCCATCAGGGAAATGCAAATCAAAACTACCATGAGATTACCATCTTACACAGTGAGAATGGCACATATTAAAAACTAGCAACAACAAATGCTGGCGAGGGTGTGGAGAAAAAGAACTCTTCTGCACTGTTGGTGGGGAGTGCAAACTGGTCCACCACTGTGGAGAGCTGTGTGGAGATTTCTGACCTACTAAAATAGAGCTTCCATATGACCAGCAATTCCACTCCTGGTATTTACCCAAAGGACACAGAAACATCAATTCCAAAGAACACCTGCACCCCTATGTTTATAGCAGCACTGTTTACAATAGCTAAGCTTTGGAAACAACCCAAATGCCCAAAAATAGATACTGGATCAAGAAGATGTGGTACATATATACCATGGAATATCTCAGCATTCAAAAAAGATAAACACATGCAATTTGCAGCAACATGGATGGCGCTGGAAGGGATCATGCTCAGAAAATAAGCCAAAAGAAAAAGAAAATACCGATGGTCTCACTCTAGCAGGAATCTAGAAACTTAAATAAGGGACCAGGAAATGAATACTATAAGAAAGTGAAAATCAAAATCAACAAAACTATGAACAGAGACACTTTTAGGGGGCGGGGGCGGGAGGGGAGGGATTGGGGTCAGAATGGGGGGCTGCAATTGTATGGGGAATAACAATAAAATTTATAAAAAAAAAAAAAAGTAAAATACAGACCAGATACTGGTGTTTTAAATAAAAAATATTTTAAAATTCAAAAAAAAAAAATAAAGCATAGTATTGACGCCTCACTTTCTCAGCACATTAAAAAATTTAATCTATTGTCACATAAAGTGTATGTGTTCTGTTTGAGAATTGTCTGTAATCAAAATATTATGAGGTGGAAAGTCTAGTCTGTCTCTAGATGGCCTGCTTTCCATTAGTATTTTATTTGTTTTTGTTTGCTCTGTGCTACATACCATGGTAGATGTTGTGGAAATGCAAAGATAGAGGATGATCCTGAGCTCCTGTTTTAGAATGCATAATGATACACATGCACAGGAATATGCCTATGTGTCTAATATACATGTCAACAGAAATGTCACCAACATGTCACTAACACATTTAAATATGTGTTGGTGTGTGTGTATAAAAAGCAAAAGGGAATGTATGCGAACCAGATATTAGGACCTTAGGAGGATGCAGATAGAGTGATGTAGGAATCCAGATAAAGGAGATATTACCTGAGGGATCAGGGATGCATGGCAGATGGCACCCTCACTTGCTTTGGAGAATGAACTAGTTCAGGCTGCAGGCAACCAGGGCTTGCTTATTTTCTTATGTAGAATTGCTGCTCTGTGTTTGTGCTGTTGGGCCCTTTTCCTGTGTTTTACACTTTATGATTTTTTTTTTTTCTTTTGCCTACTAGATCCTCTGTCTCCCATCGGAATGTCGCTTTTGGAGGCAGAGTGTGTGTCTTACAGGTCTTTGTGAAAGCCAGGTGGCCAGCTCGGTAGCTCCTGTGTATTGATTCTGTTCCCTCTGTGGATTCTTGGCACATGTAGCTCTAATTTCCTGAGTGGAGGAGAAGAATGACTGTGTTGCTTTCTTTGGATTTTTTCCACCCTTTTTATTTTCTTCTATTGTGATGCCTTTATCCCCCACGCTTCCCTGTTTCATTTTCCTTGTTCCGTTTGGAGGAAGTATAATTAATATATGTCTTAATCCCATGCATTCTTTTGGCTTTGTTTAGTTCAGGTCATGATCACTACTCTGTTTCTTGATATGTGACAAATATTTGTTTCTTTTTTCCTAACAGTATTTCAGGAGGGCAAATGCGGGTCTCTTGGGGCCATAGATTTATAATTGTGTAGTTATGACATCATAGCTTGTCATAAGTCAGGGTACCTTTATTACTCTTTTTTTTTAAATTAAAAAAAAAAAAAAGATTTATTTATTTATTTATTTATACAAGCACTGTGTACAGTCAGAAGCACGGGAGGATGAGAGAATTCACCAGAGCCAGAGCGGGGAGCAGAGAAGGCAGAAGGACCCTAGTACACTGCTGAGGGGAGCAGTGGGCGGTAGGAGAAGTACACTGCTGAGGGGAGCAGCGGGCAGGAGAGGTCTGCGCGCCATGTGGGACCCTCCCCCTGTGGCCAGGGAGCGGCCGGGGATTGAACCGGCGCTGTCAGAGGCTGCGGGCAGCTTTGCAACCCAGCGCTCAACCGCTGCGCCACCGGGGATGCCCACTCTTAAGGCTTTCACTTTTTGACTTTAAGATCTAAGCAAATGAAGGTTTTTGGGTGGTGTCTAAATAAACATTTTGGAAAAATAAATCTATTATCAGACCACAGAAAGAGGCCTCTTGTTGTTCTGCCATCAAACACAGTTCTCGATAGCAGTCAGCTTGGCAATGGATGAGCGGGTTAAGGTCTCCAAATGAAAATTGTTATAAAGCATGGAGTATGCATAAGTGCCCTGTTGTGCATGACCACAATATTGTTGGGTTGTTTATATTTTCCATTATGTGGTCTCTTTTAAATGAAAGAAACTGAAATATTAATCACATTTTTATTTATTTTCACTATCTCTAGTTGGGTGAGCATGTGATATTTATCATCCACAGGGAATTTACTAATGTGAAATAAATCAGCCAGAGTGGAGTTGGGATAAATTGGTAATACCCAAACTCAAGGTTTTATGAAATTCGTCATTTTGCTTGTGCTGTGAGCTCCACTGAAGAAGAGAAATTGAGGTGGCAGACTGGGTAATATGAGACAAAAATTAATTGAGAAACTTTGGGATAAGCTCTATGGATTTGCTGATTTTTGACTGTTCTTTCACCTGTCTATAGAGTTTTGCAGCCACTACCATATCATTTTCAGAATATTTCCATTATTCCTAAAGGTCTCTTATGCCTGTGAATTTTATATATAAATCATGTGCAAGAAAAATTATAATAAAGGAATAAATAAGGAAAGAAAAAAAGCCTTTAAATTGGGTTTTATTTGAACACTTTTCTCTGTGTGTTAAGAAAGGTGTCCATGTTCACACAGGCCATGGAGGGGATCCTGATAGTGTATGATAGTGTATGCTGTGGCTTGCGGGGGAGAATCAGGCCTTTGGATGATGAATTTTTTTATTTTCTCTTTTAGTCAACAATGTTTTAGGCCAAATACAGCTTCTGTAGAAAGAACTTGAGATGACATTTATAGGAACAATGAGCTAGGATGTCGACTTGCCCTAAAGTAGTTTACGGTGGGAAGGGTTGAGCAGGCAGAAGAGTAGTTACGGCATTGATCCTAGGAAGGATGCACAGGTGGGGACTACTGTTATGCAGGGAAGGCTCAGACACTGGAACAGGAGAGTCACTTAAGGGGAGACTGAGGAATACCTTCAAGTCGTGACACATTGAAGTGTGAAAGGCATCGGGTCCACAGATTAGGTCCTCTTGTGGGCTTCTGGTTTCCCTTAGACAAAAACTTTAGTATT